AATGGCGGCATCTGGCAGGAGGTTCTGGTTCTGGTACTGGACCGCTCTGGGGGAGACAGACAGATTAGTGGCTGTAAGCAGAGCAGAGTAAACAAGAATAAAGCCACTAACCTGTCTCTGGAACCAGTCCGAGATGTGGGCCAGGTGGGTCCCGGTACCGGTTTGAACCTGAGGAGCCGATAACATGCGCAAGGGTGCACACAGCAGCAGCGCTCAGGGTGAGCAAGAACAAGCAGTGAGGCTGGATGGGCGAGCTGTGACGCTGAGGGGTTTGGACAGCAGAACTTTATCCAGGGACAGGCAAGGGTCTAAACCAGAGAAGAATCCAGTCCGGGTGGCAAAAGCGAGAGCGAAAAGTCATGGGCGAAGCTATGGTCAAGAACGATGATATGAAGAGGGAACGCTGGATATCTATGGAAATGATCTATAATTATCTGGCATCGACTGAGGAGAAACAGGGAGCTTAAATAGTGAATTGAAACAGGTGTTGCTCATGAATGTAGATTGCGGTAGATGGTGGAGGGGGCGTGGCACAGGGTGACAGGAGCTGAATGAATGAGAGGGGAACTCAAAACTAAAGCAGGAAAAAACGTGAATGATCTAAAAACAGGGGCTGTGGTATGAGGAGCAGAGGCTTAAACAGATGGGGCGGCAGCGGGGGCCGCTGAGCGTGACACACGGTGTTCCTCTTGACATGTCCAAGCCATCTCAGTCTGGCCTCCCTAACTTTATCTCCCAGTTGTTCAACTTGGTCTGTACCTCTGATGATCTCATTCCTAGTCTTATCCAGCCTTGTCACTCCTAAGGAGAACCATAGCATCTTCATTTCTGCCACTTCCAGTGCTTTCTCCTGTCTTTTTGTCCATGTCTCTGTCTCCAGACCATACAACATAGCTGGTTTCACCACTGTCTTGTAAACTTTTCCTTTGATCTTTGCTGAAACCCTTTTGCCACAAATCACTCCTGAAACTTTTCTCCATCCACTTTATCCTGCCTGGACTCTCTTCTTCACTTCTTTACCACACTCCCCATATTCCTGGGCAGTGGACCCCAAGTCCTTGAAGTCCTGTACCTTTGTGACCTCTGCTCCTTGTAGCCTCACTGTTCCACCTCCTCCCTCTCATTCACACACATGGACTCTGTCTTACTATGGCTGACTTTCATTCCTCTTCTTTCAAGTGCATACCTCCACCTCTCCAAGTTCTCTTCCACCTGTTCCCTGTTCTCACCACAGATCACATCATCTGCAAACATCATAGTCCATGGGAATTCTTGCCTGACCTCATCTGTTAGTCGATCCATCACCAGAGCAAACAAGAAGGGGCTCAGAGACAATCCTTGATGCAATCCCACCTCCACCTTGAAGTTATCGGTTACTCCTACAGCACATCACACCACTGTCCTGCTGTCCTCATAAATATCCTGTACCAGTCTAACATACTTTTCTGCCACTCCATATTTCTTCATGCAATACCACACCTCCTCTCTTGGCACTCTGTCATATGCTTTTTCTAAATCCACAAAGACACAATGGAGTTCTTTCTGACTCTCTGTAATTCATCAGCATTCTCAAAGCAAAGATGGCATCTGTGATGCACTTTCTTGGCATGAAACCATATTGCTGTTTACAGATAGTCACCTCTCGTCGAAGTCTTGCTTCCACAACTCTCTCCCAGATCTTCATTGTGTGGCTCATCAACTTAATTTCCCTGTAGTTGCTACAACTCTATACATCACTCTTGTTCTTAAAAATGGGCACCAGCACACTTCTTCTCCATTCCTCAGGCATTTTCTCACCCTCATATAGGCCATTGAATATTTTAATCAAAAACCTCACTGCCGTCTCTCCAAGACATTTCCAAACCTCCACTGGTATGTCATCAGGTTCTAATGCCTTCCCCTTCTTCATTCTTTTCAGAGCTTTCAGGACTTCACCCTCACTAATCTTTCCCACTTCCTGGTCCACAGTTTCTATGACCTCTACTCTTCTTTGTCTTTCATTCTCTTCATTCATCAGCTCCTCAAAGTATTCATTCCATCTTCCCGTCACACTTTCCTCACTTGTTAGAACATTACCATTCCTATCTTTAATAAGCCTAACCTGCTGCACATACTTTCCAGCCTGATCCCTCTGTCTTTCCAATCGGTACAAGTCCTTCTCGCGCTCTTCAGTGTCCAGTCTCCCATACAACTCATCGTATGCCCTCTGCTTTGCCTTAGCTACTTCCCTCTTTGCTCTACGTCCCATCTCCTTTTATTCCTGTCTCCTCTCTTCAGTCCTCTCACTGTCATATTTCTTCTTGATTAACCTCTTTCTTTGAACAGCTTCCTGCACTTCATTATTCCACCACCAGGTTTCCTTATCGTCCATTCTCTGTCCAGATGACACACCAAGTACCTTCCTACCTGTCTCTCTAATTACTGTTGCCGTTGTAGTCCAGTCATCTGGAAGCTCTTTCTTACCACCCAGAGCCTTAAACAGCTCCTCTCTGAATTTCTCACAACATTCTTCCTTCTTCATCTTCCACCATTTGGTCTTCTTCTCTGATTTGACTCTTTTTCTCTTCTTCACAACAGTCATTCTACACACAACCATCTGATGCTGTCTGGCCACGCTCTCCCCTGCCACAACCTTACAGTCCCCAATCTCCCTCAGGTTTCCTATTTTTACACAGAATGTAGTCGACTTGCGTACTCCTTCCTCCATTCTTATAGGTCACTCTATGTTCCTCCCTCTTTTGGAAATATGTATTGACTACAGCCATTTCCATTCTCTTGGTAAAATCCACCACCATCTGTCCTTCCTGGTTTCTTTCCTTGACACCAAACCTACCCATCACTTCCTCAGCCCCTCTGTTTTCTTCATCAACATGTCCATTCAGGTCTGCTCCCATCACAAATCTCTCCTCCCTGGGAATACTCTGAGCCCAACTATATCTAGTGGGTATTTCTCAACCTCATGCACAAGTTCAGGCTCCTTCCCCGCCAGAGAAGTCATCATCATCGTAATCTTTATCAACTTTATTTATAAACCACGTTAACACCATCCACAGCTGAAACAAATTGCTGAAAATCAGTAATAAATAAGATAAATGACAACATAAAAATAAAGTGACAAAGCTAAAAACTCAATTTAAAACACAATAAAATGACGAGTTAAACAGATAAAATAAATACCAATAAAAATGAAATAAAATACATTCTCAGTTGGTTGAAGGCCATTGAGTAGAGATGAGTTTTCAGATGGGTTTTAAAAATGGACCGTGAGGGGTCCTGTCAAATGTGCAAAGGCAGAGTGTTCCATAACTTAGGGGCACTAACAGAGAAGGCCCTGTCTCCTCGAAGCTTCCTCTTACTCTTGGGAATGACCAGAAGCAGCTGGTCAGCAAACCTGAGTGACCAAGGGGGAGTGTAGTGGTGGAGAAGCTCTGTTAAGTAAGGGGGGGGGGGGGGGGGCTGTTTAAAACCTTAAAAACAAAGTAAAATATTATTCTGAATAAGAATAAGAAGGCCGCACTAATCATTTTAGCCGCAGCTTCGTGCATTCCACCCATTTTCGGACGACTGTACGTACATATTCGCATTGTATCTTGGTGCAATGCCAATAAAGTTTATTCTGATTCTGATTCTGAAAGAAAATAATTTTAAAATGAACTCTACAATACACGGGCAGCCAGTGGAGAGAAGCCAGGACAGGGTGATGTCCGCTCTTTTATGTGTTCCAGTTAACAGACGTGCAGCAGCATTTTGCACCAGCTGCAGACGTGTAAGTGAGGACTGGTTGACTCAGAGATAGAGAGAATTACAGTAATCCAGCCGTGATGAAATGAAGGCATAGATTACTGTTTCAAACTGTTGCCTCGAAAGAATAAATTTACCTTTTCCAATTTTCTCAAATGATAAAAACCAGATGACTGTGGCTCTTATTTGACTGTCCAGTTTAAAATCACTGTCCATCTTAAAACCAAGGTTTGTAACTGTGAACTTTACGTGCATTGTCAGGGGGTCTAAGTCAACTGGAGGGCTCGAACAAGCTCCACTCCTTCCAAAAACAAGCATCTCTGTCATTTTTTCATTAAAATGCAGGAAGTTTAGGGCCATCCAAGCTTTAAGATACTTGAGACACAATAAAAGAGGTTTAATGAACCAAGTATCAACTCGCCTTAAAGGCACAGATTTGGCATCAGTGTAGCAGTGAAAGGAGATGCCTTGTTTTCTAAAAATTGATCCTACAAGAAGTATATACAAAGAAAAAAATTAAAAGGCCCTAAAATTAAACCCTGAGGAAACCCACATGACAGAGGAACAGAAAAGGATTCACACTCAATGTCCCAAGAGCCAGCTTTGGTAAGCGACTGTCAGAGCGTCAAGGCCCCTACTTTCAGCCACTGCCCATGACATCATGCACTTGACTTGTATGACCCCTCTTGCAGGTGGTGGGCCCACAGGAAGGCAAACCCGTGTTGCTCGTTCAGGCTGAGCCCGACCGGGCCCCATGGGTAGAGACCTGGTCACCAGGCACTCACGGATGAGCCCCTCCCCCAGGTCTGGCTCCAGGGTGGGGCCCCAATAACCCTTGTCCAGGCAAGGGAAACTGAGTTCCCTGTTTTTGTTTTTCCATTTAAGTCTTTGGAATTGCTCTTTGTCTGGCCTGTCACCTAGAACCAATCTGCCTTGGGAAATCCTACCACCAGGGGCTATTGCCCCTGACATCATAGCTGCTAGGTACATTCAGGTGCACAAACTCCATCACCATGATAAGTTGAAGATCCAAAGTGGAGGTTATTTAACACAGTGATTCCAAAATGTGAAGGTTCTAGATCTTCTGTCAGAGGAACCAGGCCCTAATGGTTCCTGCCCACCTCAGAGTCCTTTGTATTTGAAAGGTTTGAATCATTGAATCAATGTTTTAGGAATCATTTTGGCCTCGATTTGAAGGATTTATATCCAGCTGTTTTGCTTCAGCATCAACTTTTGACTCCTAAACTTGTGTTTGGATTTCAGGATTTAATCTTGATTTGGGCCTTGTTGTGGCCTATGACCTGATGGGTCTTTAAACAGACTGAAGTTCTCAGAGGACTTGTCAATCCAGGAAACTGTCCACAGAACAGACAGACTAAATCAACTGAGCAGAGCTTAAATTTTTCAAACCTTCTGGGAACAATACTTAATTCAAACTTTTTCTTTGGTTTTCAATGGTAGGCTCGTAGTTTGAATTATAAGTTTGTAAATTTGCTTGTTTGTTGTTGCTGCTGTTTTAGTTTTATTGGATTAGGTTTTTCTTACCTGGCTCAGCTCAATGCTTTCAGGTGTGTGACCTTTAGGACCTCTGACACCAATGAGGGTGGGCGGAGTCTCCCAGCTTGGCTTCTTCCTGCAGAAGAAACTGAACACGGAGCAAGCAGGATGATGAAGATTGCAGTTCTACATCAACAGGTGATAATGATGACAGTGATGAAGGTCTTACCTGTGTCTGTAGCCCAACAAGACCAGCAGCAGGCAGCAGAGGATGCAGGCGAGGCTGCTGTGAACACCAAGGAGCAGAGTGGACATGGACCCATCAGCCTGATCACAGTTACAACTCTGACCAGCTGAAAGAGACAAACCCACAGCTTAAACTGCTTAAACTGATCCCATGAGTCAACTCACTGAGGCTCTGCCTACCTGCAGTAGAGGCTCTGCCTTCTGACAGAGACACTAAGTGGCGGGTGGGTGTACTATTTCCATTACCATTGAATGCCACCAGCTGGATTTCATAAACTGCTGCCAGCTCTAAAAAACACACACACCAGGTAGTTACCACATAGGTTTGCACAGTAGAAACCCATGTATAAATTTTTAACTATTTCAATAAACTCACACCTGTAACAGGCTAACCAGGTGAGGTGGGGAGGGGCATGGCCTACACCTGATGCACCAGGCTGCATTCAATGATTGTACTCACCCAGGTGAGATATGGTGTGGGTGTTGATGTGCCCTGGGAAGATCTCCTGCCCATGGAGATCTGGATTGGAGATCTCACGGTACTCTAGTCTAAAGCCCTTAACCTTCCCTGGTTTATCTGGCAACTCCCAGTACACCTGCATGGCAGTCTGGTTCAGCACCTTGGTGAAGAAACTGGGTGGACTGGGAACTGTGGGAAGGACAGAGACATAAAGAGAATCAATTTGTATCAGGTGTCTTGAGTTGTGTGTGTCGGAGTGTTCTAGGTGTGTTGTAGTTTTAATGTATGTGAATGTTTTTGTTCAGTGCCCTGGCTCCTTCTGTTGTGATGGTGCTATATAAATACTTTGTAAACTGAACTGAAATTTAATTAGACTGAATTGAATTGGAGTGTTTCAGATAAGTCTCAGGTGTGCTCCAAGTATGTTGGCATGTTTTAGGTGTGCACCATGCATTTCCAAATACTGTATATCAGGTATGTTCCAGGTGTTTAGAAGTGTCTCAGGTGAGTCTCATGTGTGTTCCAGGTGTGTTGGATTGTTTCAGGAATCTTAGGTGAGTTTCAGGTGTATGGGAGTGACTCAGGTGATTATGGTGCATTCCAGGAGAGTTGGAGTGTTTCAGGTGTGCATCATACTTATCTAGGTGTCTCAGTTGTGTTCTGGATGTGTTGGAGTGTCTCAGAAATCTCAGGTGTGTTGGTGTCTCAGGTGTACACTATCTATGTCTGTGTCTCAGGTGGGTTCCAGGTGTGTGTGAGTGTCTCAGGAATCCCAGGTATGTTCCTGGTGTGGGAGTGACTTAGGTGAGTCTCGGGTGTGTTCCAGGTGTGTTGGAGTGTCTCAAGAGTCTCAGGTGTGTTCCAGGTGTGTGGGAGTGTTTCAGATAAATCTCAGGTTGTGTTACAGGGAGACTGCAAGGAAGCCAAGATTCAACTTATCTGCTGCTTCCTTAGATAGAGAACTTTACTAATTGGCTTTTATGTATGTGAAAGTTTCTGTAAAGTACCCTGAGACAACTTTATTGTGATTTGGTGCTATATAAATAAACTAAATTGAATTGAATTACAGGTTAGTTGGAATGTCTCAGGTGACTCCCATGTGTGTTGGAGTGTCTCAGGAGTCTCAGTTGTGTTCCAAGTGTGTTGGGCTGTCTCAGGGGTGCACCATGCATGTCTAAGTGTCTCAGTTATGTTCCAGGTGTGTCAGTGTCTCAGGTGAGTCTAAAGACTTGGTAAGAATTCAACAAGGTGCAAGAAGTCAGATCTCACTAATGTGATTATAGATAGTCTTTTTCTCATAGACAGTTCATACTCAAAAACAACCATCCATCAATCCATCACTTATCTTCAGCTTATTCCTGAGTCGGGTCGCAGGGGCAGTAGCTTGAATAGGGAGGCCCAGACATCTCTTTCCACAGCCACCTCTTCCAGCTCTTCTAGGAGGATTCCAAGGCATTCCCAGGACAACCGAGAGACATAGTCTCTCCAGCGTGTTCTGGGTCTTCCCCAGGGTTTCCTCCCAGTTGGACATGCCTGAAGCACCTCCCTGGGGAGATGCCCAGGGGGCATCCTTACCAGATGCCCAAACCACCTCAACTGGTTCCTCTCGATGTGGATGAGTAGCGGTTCTACGCTGAGTCTCTCCCGGATAACTGAACTTCTCACCCTGTCTCTAAGGGAGAGTCCAGCTACCCTGCAGAGGAAACTCATTTCAACCGCCTGTGTCTGCAATCTCATTCTTTCCGTCACTACCCAGAGCTCATGACCAGAGGTGAGGGTAGGAATGTAGACCGACTGGTAAACAGAGAGATTTGCCTTATAGCTCAGCTTCACCACAACGGACCAGTACAGAGTCTGCAATACTGCAGATGCTGTACCAATCCATCTGTCAATTTCACGCTCCATTCTTCCCTCACTTGTGAACAAAACCCTGAGATACTTGAACGCCTCCACTTGATGCAGAACCTCACCCTCGACCCGAAGAGAGCAATACACTCTTTTCTGGTTGAGGACCATGGCCTCAGATTTGGAGGTGCTGATTCTCATCCCAGCTGCTTCACACTCGGCTGCAAACCGTTCCAGTGAGAGCTGAAAATCACGGCACGATGATGCCAACAGGACCACATCATCTGCAAAGAGCAGAGGTGGAATCCTGAGCCCACCGAACTGGAAACCCTCCGCCAGCTGGCTGCACCGAGAAATTCTGTCCATAAAAGTTACGAACAGAATCGGTGACAACGGGCAGCCCTGGCAGAGTCCAACTCCCACCCTGAAGGGGTCCAACTTACTACCGGCAATGCAAACCAAACTCTCGCACCACTTGTACAGGGACTGAACAGCTCATAACAACAGACCTCCAATTCCATACTCACAGAGCACCCCCCCCCCTTACACACACACACACACATACACAGAGTATACCTCAAGGAACACGGTCTAATGCCTTCTAACGCCTGAAACAGCATTAGTAAGGGTTTGTAACGATATTATATCAAACGATTATGGTCAATTTGTGGTACTTGTGTTCCTGGACCTTTTTTTTTTTTTTTTTTTTCATTTAGCCTTTAATTTATCCAGGTTAGTCTCACTGAGCCATGAGAACTCATTTTCAAGAGAGACCTGTTTAGGGAGCACATGATGGGGGTTAAGGGCCTTGCTCATGGGCCCAGAGTGGGGCAAATGAGGGTGGGGGCAAGTGTGGGTGTTTCACCTACCCCACCCACAATTTTTGATGTTGTCGGGGCCGGGGCGTGAACCGGCGATCTTCGGATCACAGGCCCATCTCTCTAACCTCTGCGCCACCACTCCCCCTAACTGCTTTTGATACTGTTCACCACAGTATCCTTATATCACGGCTGGAACAGTGGGTTGGGATCACAGGTGCTGCATTAGAATGGTTCCGCTCATACCTAAGTGGAAGGAGTTTCAGTGTCAAGGTTGGTAATAATATATCTGCCTCATTACCTCTTTCTTGTGGGGTCCCACAGGGTTCGATTCTTGGACCCCTTCTGTTCTCACTTTATTTTCTCCAACTGGGGTCCATCCTGAGGAAACATAGTCTTTCATTCCATTGCTATGCTGATGACTGCCAGATCTACCTGCCTGTGAAACCAGCAAGTGTTTGCTCCATTCACCCTCTGTTAAAATGTCTGGACGACATTAAGGCCTGGATGGCTTCAAATTTCTTAAGCTTTAACAATGACAAGACTGAAGTCATTGTTTTTAGCCCTAGCTCAACTGCCGCCACTGATCCTGTCAATCTGGACTCTCTTCAGCCATATCTGAAGCAGTCTGGTAAAAATCTCGGGATGGTTTTAGACTCTGACTTCAAGTTTGACAAACAAATCAACTCTGCTCTGCAGAAAAGCTTCTTCCAACTAAGACAGGTAGCTAAGCTCAAGCCAGTATTGTCCAGACCCGACCTTGAGAAACTAGTCCATGCCTTTGTCACGACCCGATTGGACTATTGCAATGCACTGTATGCTGGGATCAGCCAGGCCTCCATCTCGCGTCTTCAGCTCGTCCAGAATGCTGCTGCTCGGCTTTTAACCGGAACTCGTAGGTCTGAACATATTACTCCAGTTCTGTCCTCCCTTCACTGGCTCCCTGTTCGTACGAGGATAGTCTTTATAATTCTTCTGTTGACCTTCAAGTGCCTAAATGGCCTCGCACCCCTTTACCTCTCTGAGCTTCTGGAACATTACGTTCCCTCTCGGGTCCTGAGATCATCCGATCAGCTGCTTTTGGCTGTTCCAAAAACAAGACTGAAGCTCAGAGGAGATCGGGCTTTTTCAGTCATGGGCCCCAAACTCTGGAACAACCTGCCCCCCAACATCAGGCAGGCCACCTCCCTTTCTCACTTCAAATCCCTGCTTAAAACACATTTGTTCTCTCAGGCATTTCATACAGTGTAAATTGATCTAGTGTTTTTTCATCTGTGGCCCTATGTTTTAAATGCTTTTATTAATTCTTCAGTTATTATTATTATTAGTGTATTGTATATATGTGTTTATATATTTTTCTCTTTAATTTACTCATTGATTGTTGTTGTTGTTAAGCACTTTGATAACAGGTTCTGGTTTAAATGTGCTCTATAAATAAAGTTGACTTGACTTGACTTAACTACTGAGTCTGTCTGGCATCTTCCCCTGCCATCTGATCCAACTCCCTACCAGGCAGTGATCAGTTGACAGCTCAGCTCCTCTCTTCATCCGAAAGTCCAAAACAAATGGCCGCAATCATATGACACAACTACAAAGTCAATCATTGATCTATGACCTAGGGCATCCTGGTGCCAAGTGCACTTAAGGACACCCTTATGTTCGAACGTGGTGTTCGTGATGGGCAAACTATGACTAGCACAGAAGACTAACTACAGAACACCGCTTGGGTTCAGATCAGAGAGGCTGTTCTTCCCAATCACGACACTCCAGGTCACACTGTAATTACCCAAGTGGGCATTGAAGTCCCCAAGCAGAATAAATGAATCCCCACCTTCCAGCACCCCTGCCAAGGTCTCCAAGAAGGTTGGATACTCTGAACTGTAGTTTAGCGCGTAGGCACAAACAACAGTCAGAGCCCATCCCCCAACCCAAAGGCGAAGGGAGGCCACCGTCTCATCTACTGGGGAAAACTCCAACACACAGGCACCAAGTCGGGGGGCTACAAGTAGACCCACACCAGCTTGATGCCTCTCACCAAGGGCAACTCCAGAGTGGAATAAGGTCCAGCCCCTCTCAACGAGATAGTTTCCAGAGCCCATGCTGTGCGACAAGGTGAACCCAACTATATCTAGTCTGTACCTCTCTACCTTACGCATAAGCTCATGCTCCTTCCCTGCCAGAGAGGTTACATTCCATGTCCCAAGAGCAGCTTTGGTAAGCCAGGGTCAGAGTGCCAAGGTCCCCACCTTCGGCCACTGCCCATAGCATCATGCACCTGACTTTTATGGCCCTTCCTGCAGGTGGTGGGTCCACAGGAAGGCAAACCCATGCTGCTCCTTCAGGCTGAGCCCAACTGGGCCCCATGGGTCAAGACCCTGTCACCAGGCGCTCGTCGACGAGCCCCTCCCCGTGGTCAAAAACAACCATGGGACATAACTACCGGTAAGTCCTGCCTCTTCAGCACAACATAAATGAACACAACCACACAGTTTTCAGTGTGATTTATTTAATATGTAGTAAAAATCTACTACAAGTGCATTTTTATTTTCAGTTGATGAAGATGGAGATATGTATTTCTTGTATTTTTGTAAATAGAGATTGCCTCTGATTTCAACAAGGGGTGCGGGAACACTTCCCTACACAGCCCAGGGGAAGGAGCACGCCCTCCTGGAGCACAGCCATGAAGAGCCTTCAGTTCTTCATGCTGTCTCCTGTGTTTTTGTTTTCAAAGTTGTCCCATGTCCTTTCCACAATTTCTTTGCCTATCCCTATAAGTTTTGTTTGACTCTTTTAATCATTTTTACTGGATTTGTTGTAATGATGATTGTATTTTTTCACAGCCTCGACCAACAGCTCCTCAGCAGATGCTACTCTCAGAGGTCATCTAAAAAAGTTCAATCTGGTCCTCTGGACATTCAAAAAACAAAACAAAGCAAATCAACAAAAAAATGTAGAAACGTTTCGTCTCTCATCCAAGAGACTTCCTCAGTCTGAATTGCTGTATTCAGCTCAGTCTCTTAAATAGCATCTTCTCAGAGTGGATCAACCAGTTTTGCTGCTGACAACCAAAACCAGCTGATCACACGCTCAAGAAGGACCATCAGCCTAACAATGGATCATTAGCACACTGATGGCTGTTTACTGTTCACAGAGGGCTGAGTGATACTAGCAAAGGATGGCCCAGCACAGAAGATCAACATCATCAGGCCAGGACTCTGCGGTCTACACTCATCTCCAGGCCAGCGGTCACTCTTTCAGGGATGAAGATGTTCACATCCTGGACAGAGAGGAACGATGGTTTGAGAGAGGAGTAAAGGAGGCCATCTTTGTGAAAAGTAATCGTCCATCGTTAAACAGGGGTGGAGGCCTCCGGGTTCAACTGTCCCCCTCTTACAATGCTGTGATTGCTAGTATCACTCAGCCCTCTGTGAATAGTAAACAGCCATCAGTGTGCTAATGATCCATTGTTAGGCTGATGGTCCTTCTTGAGCATGTGATCAGCTGGTTTTGGTTGTCAGCAGCAAACTGGTTGATCCACTCTGAGAAGGTGCTATTTAAGAGACTGAGCTGAATACAGCTCCTCAGACTGAGGAAGTCCTCAGGATGAGAGACGAAACGTTTCTACATTTTTTTGTTGATTTGCTTTGTTTTGTTTTTTTGAATGTCCAGAGGACCAGATTTAACTTTTTTATATTTTTCTACCTGGATTATTGAGCATGCATCAGGATATGCTCAGAGGTCAGCTGACAGCAACCACTTTACATAAACAAACACACCCACAATGTTTTGACCAATCGCACAATGCTTGCCTCATGACAAGAGGCCAACACAAGACTTCTTCATCTTCCTAAATCCACCTGTAGGTGTCTGATGGTCTGAGTGTATACACTCCAGGGGACATACCTCCTCCCAGCGTAGTGGCGGTGATAGTGTTGGACTGCTGGCTGCCTCCATGGGCAGAATAGGCCTTCAGATAGATGGAGTATGTGGTGGCAGATTCCAGATTGTTGAAATCGTGGCTGAAGGTAGTTTTATCCACGGCCTCCTGCAGTTCAGCACCATCTGGTTCTAAGAACATCACAGGAAGTAGAACACAAGTAAGACAGCAGTGACATGACTCCTGGCAGGGACCAATGCAGACATGTTCCTGTTTTTAGTTTTATACATT